ATACTGAAGATAAACTCTTTCGGTCCGGTTCTGCGAATGTGCAAGTCCGAGATGGAGCAGTCATCTATCCGGTCGTATTTGGAGCGTACAAGCTGCCGAACCTGCCCGTCGCGAATCCTCGAATTGTTACTCCATCCGAGCGTTCCCCAAAAGCGGTGCAGTGCCAGTACTTGGACGTCGTTGGATGCTAATGCTTCCGGAAAAGGGTGATGGTAAGATAATACCCATTCATCTTCTTCCCACCAGCTACTGGCTCCTTCGAGCAAAGTCGAATAGTGCATGCGGACGCGATCTCGAATAAAACTCAATTGCTCCGTCGTGGGTTGCAAAAGCTTTTCCATGTCTTGTATCCATGCTGTTTTGGAAGCTTCGAAGTGCAAGAAGATGTTATCCCTGGTATACCCCTTCCATACAGGACCAGGGATGAGAAAGATGGCCTACCTTGATAAGCCCAGTGACACCAAGAGGCAAAATACTTGTCCTGGGCTTGCGTTAGCCACCGCAGTGCATGTTTCGTGTGCTGAGTTTTGATTGCGACCTCGAATGAAGCCAGCCCTACTCCACCTGCGTGTTTCGGAGTGAATAGCAGTCCTGGGTTGATCCTGTGCCTGCTAGCTTCTGTCGAAGTGGCGTGAGCCCACAAAAATTGTTTGTACAAATTTTGGATTGCCTGCCTCGCCCATTCTGGGATGTCGATTACCGCTGCCGTGAATAAAATGGATGGAAGAATGATGGAGTTTAGAATCAACACTCGATTCTCCACACTAGTCGCGACCCTGGAAGCTGTGATTAGCCGCCGTTGAAGCCTTCAAATCATTAAAGCCCAATTGCGGTTATGTAAGGCACCAAGACCAACCTCATAGCCCAGGTACCTTACTGTTTCTGTCTGGTGTAGCACCGAAATGCCAACCATTTCTCGCATCTGCACCCCTGTGTTCAAGAGTATGATTTTGCTCTTTGACGGCTGGGCTTCCAGTCCAGATAAGGCTCCAAAGCGTGATACGAGGGCAAGAGCCGGTGCCAGCTGATTCGCTTGGTCGAGAAAAATCGTGGAGTCGCCGACAAACGCTGAGAAGCGGTGCGTTTGAGTACGGCTACCTGGGACCGGGAGTCCTTTCAAGGTGGGAGACTGCTGAACTGCAATTCCCAACAACTCGACCACCACGAGGAATAGCAAAGGGGCCAGAGGGCAGCCTTGCCTAATTCCTGACACGACGGATATTAGACTGGGCCGTTCCCCATTTACGAGGAATGTAGCCGTAGTCCCTTCATGCAGCCGAGTAATTAGCTGAATATATCGTTCCTCAAATCCAAATTGTCGAAGCGCCTCGTAAAGAAAGCTTCTGTCCACAGTATCATATGCCTTTTGAAAATCAAGTAGAAGGATGACCCTGCTATTAATCGCGTCGAGAGTTGCATCAGAAGAAGCCGTTGCCAGTTGGGAGAGCATCATCAGGACAGACTTCAACATCTGCCTGCCATGGACGAAACCTTGTTGTGAGTCACCACTGACTTTAGGTAATACAACTTGTAACCTAGTCGCCAGCACCTTCGCGAAGATTTTGTAACTGGTCTGAAGTAGCGAAATAGGCCTGTAATCCATAGCATCAGCTGAGTCACCTTTCTTCCGCAAAGGTATGATCAGCGCTTCTAGAAAAGAAGGTGGAGGACCTGAGCCCGCCAATATTTGATTACTGATTTGCACCAGGGCTGGAACCAAAAGCGCCGGCATATCCTCGTAACAGTCGTTGTTATAACCATCAGATCCAGCCGATTTATGTCGACCAGGGCCCGTGATGGCTGTAATAACCTCATTTTCAGTGAAATGGGCCATAAAAGACCGATTCTCGCTCGAAGAAAGTACCCGTTGGGTGGGAACTTGAACAAAATGACGAATGGTGGCTGGTAAGGCTTCCAAAGGGGTACTGCGATGTACCACGCCTAAAACAGTGGACCACTCTGAGGCAAATTTATCTGCCGTCGACATGGTGCGACTAAAAACCGGTCAATGAAGCTGCTTAATACCGGTGACGGTTTGCTCGCGCTCCCAGTCGGCTATTTTGCGATAAAAAAACCGTATCCGATCTGTTGTCCTGACCAGCTGTTGACCAAGTCGCACAATATGTTCCTGACGCAATTCTTCCATCTTACAGGATATCCATTGTGGCCTGGTAAGCAAGTGCTGCTGTGCCCGTCTCTGAATGTTATGGAGAAATCGAGCCCTGCGCTGCTTCACCCTCTTACTGACACGCCGAGTACAGCGTATACACTCAGCAACGTCTAGATCCCAAGTCCTGGTAGATAAAGCTTGAACAACAGCCATGCCATCCATTTCCTCGACAAGTTCGGCTATAATGTTATCGGGGTTCGATGCTGTGATGGGATACGCCACCCTATCACGTCGAATATGAGGGCGACGCCTGGTTGGTTTTCGCAGGTGTAGAACTATCTCCTGATGGTCCGACAAATTTGAAGGTAAGCGCGTCTCAACCCACAGGACGCGGTCCACCCAGCCTTCCGGTACATAAACACCGTCAATACGACTAGCCCTATCCCCTTCCCAGTATGTGAAATGGTCCACAAAGGATCCATTGAGTCGTCGTCTGCGTGTTCGCGAAGCCATCTTGCATCAGCCAATCCTATCGCAGACACAACGTGGTCCAGGGCCGGGCTTTCTGACCGGTTGGATCGATGCTTCCCAAATCGATCCAGAAGGGGACTCTGGACGCAAATAAAGTCGCCGACGATCATCGTATTTGAGGGGTCTAGATTTAAGGTCAACAGGGAGGTAAAAAAAAGCCTCTCGCTCGGACCGCAAAGTAGGAGCGTACACATTCACAAGGACTTCCCCCCCATAGATACAGCGATCGCGCGTGTGGTCCAGAAATCCGGTAACCAGGCCGTCGTATGTGTTGCAATTTGTGGAGTGAGTAGAATAGCAACTCCTGCCCGTTTTGACGAGCCAATACTCCAGTACGATAGGACAGGGGAAGTCGGGTTAAGATGCTGACCCCATAGTCGAGCCCACTGATATCGCAGCCGAGTTGCCTCTGCTTCTGTGTGCACATGTGTGTCCTGGATGCACCAAGCCCCTGTTCTGTGTCGATTTGTCTTAGCCCGCCAACCCGACATCCAACTGTCGCGCACGCTGTCCTTGAATCCTTGTACATTTTGAGATATGTAAAGCATGTCACCCATCCAGCCTTGGAGTCGAGATGTAACTGGCTCAAAAGAATTGGTCCATTCCTTAAGCAAGAGATGGCGGCCATAGGCGACCGATGCGTCGAGTGATGCACCACCGGGCCTGAAGGCCTCGTTGCTCCGTAAGCTGCCCTTAGTACTCAAGTAGAAACTGCTGCTCTGCAGGAGCCAACGCAGTATTAAAGAAGCAAACCAGCTTGCGCCAATCCACCTTGGATCCCCCTTCAGCGTAATACACCTCCTTGTAGTGACTGTTGTTCCGAAGTAAGCGTAGGTGCCCTCGAAGTTGCTCGGGAGGCTCGAGTGGTTTTTCTATATCCCCGGTCAGCGCAAAAATCTCAGCGTCGAACAATACCGCACATAGTAGGTGATAACTCAGGCGTATACGTCGGTGATGGTCACAAAGACGCAAAATAAATATCGGTAGCGTAGTCTACCTCCCTCAGCTTGATCCAATCGTCGGTACTGTCGATTAATGGGGCCAGCCGGGAGGAAGGCAATCGCTGCTGTGTTCGCACGATCCATTGATCTAGCCACAGTGATTGTATAGAATCTTGCACTTGACGCCTGTACTCAAGTAGACCAGACAGCAAGCACGCTTGTCGCCACTGAGCCGTCCACATCCCGAGAACGTGATCCCCTAGGCTAGCCAGCAGTTCACCCGGGAAAACAAAGCGTCGCACGTGATGGAGCAGCAGCTCTGGCTCGACCTGGGCAGTTTTCAGCCACGCCTCAGGGCTACCACACACTAGTGGATATGGCGTAGAAGCCGTTACTGGCCATTTAACGCCCAGAGCCTGCCAGAGATCCGGCCAGTCGTCGGTATCCATTCGTTCCTCCATCCGAGTGATATAGGGTTGAGGAGAAGCAACGCTGATCCTGCCTTTTTTCTGTTTGTAGCTCTCAAGTCCACTCCAGTTCTCCCCTTCGCTGACCTCGATGGACTCCGACGTGCTGACGTGCCCACGTTTTCGAGCCGATAGCGAACTGCCCTGATTGGTTCCCCTGATCTGCGATGGAACAATAGCTAATTGCTGCGATGACGCTTTGGCAAGACCACAGTTCCTTGAAGAGTGGATGATTATCGAAGTGTTGTCATCCACAACCGACATATGATCCCTGATAGGGGATAAAATATGGGAGCGCTTCTCTTCTAGCTGCACAGCTAAAGTATCCACAATTTGCGAGTCCTGACCTTGCTGCAGCACTGAGCCTGTTCCGTCCGAGACGTCAGTTAGGCTGAGCCGATCTGCCGCCCTGGCAGTGTGCAGAAAAGCCGAATAATGCCGGCCTTAGAATCTAAGCACCAGTGGTGGAGCGCGAGGCGCCTCTATCTTTGCCGCTTGCAGCTCGTCTATACACGCCAAGAGAGTGAGTGGAAATTTTTTGGCAGTTTCCACTACTCGACCATGTCTGTTGATCGTAGCAGGACAATACTTGCGACCACTCCAGTTACCCGTTCCGCGGCCACAGTTCAACACATAGATAGTGCGATGCAAAAAATTGGCTGCCATTTCAAGAGTGTCACTTCCACCCCAGCTATGCTCCTCAACCAGGGCTTCTCTGTTGGAAGGGGAGGCTGCATAGTCATGCAAAAACCACCGTAGTTGGGACGCAGGCTCCCCCCTGGTCATCGTCGTCCAACCTCTGCCAACGTTCTTTAAAGCATGAACCCGTACGTCATGAGCCATTTGATCCTCCAAATTTAGTAGTCCGGCGTTGGAGATTACCCGTTTAATACTAGCCGTTAAAATCTCAAGGTCCTTGGTAGGGTTGTCCAAAGCAGATTCTGCGAGAGCTTAAGCTATGGCTATCGCCAAACAATTGCCCGTGGCCGGTGTGGCGACTTCACGGAGCCCCAAAAACTGTACCAATTCTGTCACATGCATGGGCTCAGCATGAGTCATTGGTTCCATGGGGATCGCGTGACTTGTCCCTGGTGACAACTGTTTAATTAGCCGCTCACATGTTGAACGCTCCCGGCGTTTATTGGCCAAAAGCGTTGGGCCCGCAACAACAGACACCTGTCCTCTCCTGGCGGCTACTGTTTGTCGTGCTAGATCCTCAGGTGTCAACGTGGGTGGTCCCTTCTTGGAAGACGCATCCCGATCCGTCATCTTACTTGATGCTTGCCTTGGCAGATCATGGGTATCTCGATTAACAGAATTCGAGGACGTTTCGGTCTCATCCAGCTCTTCCTCTTGGAGCACGTGATAACTACCGCTGCTAACCTTGAGATCGCCTTTCGAGGCCTGTAGGGGTGACCATATCCTCCTCCCTCCCCGTACAGGCCGGGTCAGCCATGGTTGCGCTGGTCGGCATTTCGGGGCCGGTGGTAATGGCCCCCCGTGCGTGCCTGGTGGAGTATATACCGGTTGGAGAGGTATGCCAGTTCTAGGGGGTTCTGCCACTGGCGACGGACTGGGGGCAACTGTCAATGCCACCGGCGTCACTGCAGCCTGCGCTGCCGCATCCTCCGATTGTTGGACTTGAAGACGTCTCATTGCCATCTGCCTCATTTCGTCTGGACTGCTAAAAGGCTTGGCGAGGTCTTCAACAGCTTGAAGATCTGCTTCGATAACTTCTACGCCACCCGGCCCGCGTAATTGCGCATCTGTGAATTGACATCTGCCCGCCGGGTGTCCCAAAGTTCCACACTGCAGACATTGGAGGCGACGGCCCACATCTGGATGCCTGATGATAATTAGTGTTCCAAACCAAATTAATCGTACTATACCCTGAAGGAATTTCGGGCAGCCCGCTAGATGAAAGGTTACCTTCCACGTTGTTGATGTTCTTGAATTTGGTGTACATGTGTCCATGTCCTCCAGCTCAAATTCTGTTTGAATCTTCGAGCGCAAGTAAGCTGCGATGCGTCCAATGTCGTCGAATCTGGTAAGATTATAGAGGATAATCGTATAAGCCGATCTTGGGTATTCCGACCGACCATCTGGACCCCGCTGGTTCTGCCATACCGATCCCCTTACCGGCTGATGGGCGTTCTCCAGCGTATAAACTCGACCTTGAAAAGGCACTTGAACGTCCTGGAGCTTCTTTGCCTTGTCCCGCGAAAAAAAAGAAAAAGTGAATCGACCGGGTTGATCGATTGTAACTGATCGTTTTCGTTGATCCCAGCAGGCGATGGAGATCGGGCAAACTGACCCTCAACAGCTCGGCTGATTCCAGAATCTTCTCCGTGATGGCCTTCGTTGTCTGACGACTTAGAGGAATGTCACGCCCACCGCTGATATGGAGAACTAACTGACCCTCCACCTGCGCCTGAACGGTACTGTACAGCCGGAGACGTTCCTTGCTGTCCAGAACCGATCGTAGAAAGTCTGGCATCCGGCGACAGACGATATGCCCTTCGGCAATACCCACAATAATGCGCCATTCGTCATCAGACCCCTCACGTAGCCGTTGGAAGCCCGTGTTACCTAGCCGGGCCACACATATGGCCTTTAGTGTAATCGAGTCTTCCAACGAGAATTTGGCAGGGTCAAACATAATTCCTTTATAGGTTATGCTCCCTTTGTTCTCCCCGTCCATTTGGCGAGCCGTATTACCCGCCCGCACGACTTCTGCCATTGATTGGGGACAGGAGCAGTGGCCCAATTTTGCTGACTGACCAATTTTCTTACGATCTCCTTGAATGCCCACTTCGTCAGGAGGAGTTCTTTGCTGATCTGATGAGCCAGTCGTTTCCATTCGGCGAAACTTCCAGAAGCTGACACATAACAGCGTCGAAAAAGATCTAGCAAGCTATTCGCCTCAGGTCCCTTAAGCTTGGGAAACCTTGTGCGTCCGGCCGGTAACGCGTCGACGCTTACCGGTATCCCAGCATATTCCGCTGTAAATAGGTCCTGGATGGACAGACGCCAGACATCAACGTTGGTTGGGCCTGGTGAGGCTTTCATCGACTCAATTAGAGCCTCAAAAAGCTCCTTAGGAGGTACGTGCTCCACGGCCGGCGTGGATGAAGTCGTCTTTACCCCCTCAGGTAAACGGGGTTGTGATACCGCTGTCTGACGCGTCGACGCTCCGTCGCCGCCGCCAGGCGTTGACGAGTTTAAACCGTGATCGACCGAGGCTCCGACCGTGTCTGACCCGTGGCTCGATACGGGAACCGCCTGCTGGTCATCTGCCATAATGGTGTCAACTAGGATATCTCCACCTGCCGTCTGGGTAACGAGTGGTCTTGTGACGCCAGGAGAGGAAGGGGAATCGTCCTGCCCGCCCTGAACCGCTACCATCCCGCAAGCCATTCCTGTGTGGCTCTGCCTATCGGGTAGCGCGTCGAATTGGGTGCTGTTCCCCTCCTCCCCATCGGGGGGGGGGGGCGCGGAGGTGGCTTGATGGCCGTCGTTCGAGTATCTGGCTGATGCCAGTACTGGTCCTCTTTATACTCCTCCTCCAAATAACGCTGATTGAAGAGTGGTCTTGTCGAAAAGAAGCATCTTGGGAGCTGTCTGTTTACTGCCAAGCTAATCCTGTCGCAAATTTACACGCTGTTGTTACTTCGCACCGTCTTTACAGTTCGATGAATTTCGACCCTTTCTGTAACGGGGTGAATCGTTACATAACAATTTATAAGAAATTGTTAATAGAATATAACTATAAGAGTTATTCTCAGAATATTGTCATAAGGACAAATATTCTGTAGCACTTACGAGTCGTTTCTAATTGGTTGATATAGGCCATTATATCAACCAACGAAGACTCGCCACGACAGACGCACGCAATGAGTGGTGAGCAGATAGTTGATATGCACATTTGTATTTAGACATAGTTAGATGAAGATAAATAGTGATTTATTGCAGACATTAACTATTATAAATACAGTTCTACTTTTTACTCTAACCAAGTACTCGCTTCTTCTTACCGTCTTCCTCTGCATGTACGAGTGTACGTGAAGTTACGAGGCACCGCCTTATTCTTTCATCAGAATAAGTAGCTTGTACTGTCACCAGTACAAGCTTCAGGGTGCCCCGTTACACCTGGTAGCACTTCGTAGTCCGTCCAAGGACCGCGTTCACATCTATCATGAATATGTTGGATGATGAAGATGACCAAAGCTTTCACGCTACGCGTGACGGCTACTCCCATTTGAGCAATGTCGAATGGGATGCGGTTGAACGAATGGGTTCGACCATGGGCATCCATGCTGTTAGCGTCATGCTAGAGGCTCTCAATAGAGATGCCCAACATGCTACTATCGCCAAGTTCATTCAAAATAAACGTGAAGCTGAACGCGAGAAATTAGCCTTGCTTCACCAACAAGGTTCTCAACAAGCAGAGTTGTTGAGAGAACAGGGTGCTCAACAGTTTGAACTGTTGAGACAGCAGCAGGCTGCTGCTGGTGGGTCGATGCGTTTAGTTCGTTGGAAGTCTCCAAGTCGCGGCTCAGACAAACGTTTGAACCGCCTAGAGCTGAGTTCAGGGCTCGAACCGAACTCTTGAAGCTCAAACAGGGTAAGCGTGATGTGCACGCTTACGCCCAACATATACGACATCTTACGAGTTGTATAAGTTCCAATCCGGTGGATGAACACACGTTGGTTTCTGTGTTCATGCAGGGTCTTGCAGATGGTCCCGCCAAGACTTACCTGTTCCGGCTTGAACTAGATTCACTAGAACAAGCTATTTCCATTGCGGAGCAGGAAGACTTCAGTCTGAGACAGGCTCGCGCCAGCTCGACATCATATCGTCAACCGAGACGATATGACAACGGAGGTCCAGAGCCGATGGAACTCTGTTATGTAGAGAGCGAGAAGGCTCGCTCTACAGATTACAAGAAGCTGCAGAGATGCAACAGATGTCAAAAGTCAGGACACTACGCTTACGAGTGTAGTGCCCTCGTCCAGTGTCTCGCAACACTGGGCGTAATGACCGTCCACCCATGAGAAAGGGGAAGGAACGCGGGTCCGCTGTTGGTGCAAAGACGCAACAACGGGATGGACCGTCAAAAAAACGGACAGGATCAGTAGGTGCGGAGCACCCTACTGGTCTAGCAACGTCAAGAGAATTTGTAGGCCTCTTGATGAAGGTTGCTCCCAGCACACAAACGTTGTGCGTTGCTGCTCTAGGTAATGAGGTCTCACTCATTACCTTGAAACTCGAAGAGACGAATAAGTTGTCCCTTCGAGCTCTAGTCGATTGTGGGGCGTCCAACAATTTTGTGCGACGCCAATCGCTAGAAGATGGTCACTTTAAATTCAGTGAATGTGACACACCTCCTACGAGGATGACGGTACGTCTTGCGACAGGCGCATCCGTAACCGTCATGAAGCGTATAGTGAAGATCCACTATACGCTAGAAGATACCCAATATGACGATGACTTCATCGTATTGGATTTGGATGACAAATTTGATGTCATCCTTGGAATACCGTGGCTCAGAAGGTACGAACCACGGGTAAACCGGCAACATCGAACAGTAACGATGCCTGCCGCTTGTTCATCAGATGGCCATCTGATGAACGTTTTGGAGCGTCCACAAGCGTGTGGATGTACTACGAGTGAGTGCGATGGCCTCACTTGTGGTACGGTCGTTAGTACGACTGCACAAAACCTTAGTGTAGCAAACAGTTACACTTCGGAGCAAAGTTCCGGCGGCTGTGAGGAAACACAGGCTGCGCCGAAGGTCCACCACTCGAATAAGTCGGGTGGACTGGGACAAAGATGTATCCCTAGCGGGGAACATCTAGAAGAGAAACAATCGATCGCTCAGGTTAAGCGAAACGATAATCCTAGATCGACTGGAGAGTCTTTCGTAGAGGATCTCGCTGTGGTTGCGCAGCCACAGCTAGAGGAAGTTAAGGGAATAAGTCCCGATTTTACAAATACGGCGGAAATAAGTTCCCCGAAACCCGCGGGAATAAGTCCCCGGGAAGCCGAAGGAATAAGCCCTTCGATGCCTGAGGGAATAAGTCCCCAGGAAATGACAGAGACATTGAATGTCCTAATCAATGACGGATCAAGTGTAGGCGCTTATACACTTGATCTGATTGCGCCTCCGAATTTGACTTCGGAGATCACTCAGTTGCCAAAGCTCGAACATAAAAGGTTCTTGCGTGATCTGCGTAGTGGCAAAGTCAAGCAGATCTGCGTACTCGTCGCTGAAGACGAGTGTGTAGCCGACATAAGGTCAGCAACAATGCTTACTGAGAACAAGAGAGTTCTCAGTAGTTCATCTACGGACGAGATTGTCCTCGATGAAAAGACACGAGTTGAGCGATATGACTCCCAATCGTGGGAATCGCTCAAGACAAATCCTCTCTATGAAGATTTGGTTGAATTCAAGGATGTATTCCCTGAAACTGTTCCGTGCGAGTTACCGAAGGATAAAGGTATTCGACACGAGGTCGAGCTTAAACCAGGCTCGAAGTACTGTGTCATGAAGCAGTGGCCACTGCCTCGTGAACAAGTACTTGCGATCGACAAGTTCTTTGCCGATCGTTTAGCTGCGGGCCATGTGAGGGAATCAACTTCCCCACATAGCTCTCCGACCTTCTGTGTGCGAAAAGAAACAGGAGGGTGGCGGATAGTGCACGCGCTCAACAAATTGAACGCTGCAACGGTACCGGCTCAGACGCCGATACCGAGGAAGGACGTAATCATTGATGGCATGTCAAAGAGTACCATCTTTTCGTCCATGGATTTGATGGATGGCTTCTATCTAATCCTTATGCGAGAACGGGATATGCCCTATACCGCAGTTAGCACGCCTAGCGGCATGCTCTGGGAATGGCTAGTAATGCCACAAGGGCTCAGTAATGCCCCTGCCACGTTCAACAGATGTGTATCACATCTGTTGAGACCAGTACGAGAATTCGCGCCGAGTTATTTCGATGACGTATTCATCCATAGTCGGGCTATGAATGGAAAGTCGGACGTTGAGGTTCACAGGTACCACGTCCGACAGGTTCTTACAATCATTCAAAAGCATCAATTGTATGCTAACCTCAAGAAGTGTATATTTGCAGCAAGCGAAATACCACTTCTTGGGTGCATCGTTGGTAAGAACGGTGTACGTCCTGATCCCGAAAAGATCAAGGCGATCACCAACTGGCCTGTGCCGGTTGATGTCAAAGGTCTTTAAAAATTCCTTGGACTAGCGGCGTATTTGCACAAGTATTCACGCAATTACGCCGAAATGACTGTGCACCTCTCTCGTTTGTTGAAAAAGAACGGGAGGTGGGTACGGAACGCGGAATGTCAGCGCTCCTTTGATGGTATCAAGCAGAGCTTGATGCAATCCCCAGTCCTAGCAATTGCCGATCAGGACAGGCCATTTCATGTGGTCTGTGATGCCAGCGATTTCGCAATCGGCTGTGCAATAATGCAGTACGATCTTGAAGGCGTTGAACGCGTCGTCTGCTATCAGTCGCGTCAGCTGCAACCAGCTGAGCGGAACTATCCAGTGCATGACAAGGAACTCCTTCCCATGAAGTATGCACTCGCGAAGTTCAGAGTCTATCTATTAGGAGATAGACCCTTCGTTGTTTACACTGACCATGCGTCATTACGCACGGCAGTGAACAGCCCGCACCTTTCACAACGAATGGCGCGGTGGTTGTCATTCTTTGCGGAATACAACTTTAAGGTCGAGTACAAACCAGGACGACTTAATGTCGTCGCTGATGCACTCTCACGTCGTCCCGACTTTGAACCAGTCGCGAAACTCAACAGTGAGACAGTCACTGTTGCGTTTATGACGTCCTCAGTCCCATCTACAACGTTGTATGATGATGTGAGGCGGGCATATGCCCAAGATGGTGAGTTTTTGAAGTTGTTGTCACATCTCTCACAACCATCTCGAGAATCGTTGAAACGATTGTCGTCTGCGTATCGATCTGCATCAGATCGATACACTACTCGCGACGGGTTACTGTATTATACAGCCGTTTTTGGTGACACACCACGTGTTGTCATTCCAGATGATACTGATCTGCGTTTGCGGATCATGTTCTAGTATCACGATGCTCCTATAGCAAGACATCGTGGCCGAGAGAAAACATATCTCACGGTGAGTTGAGACTTTTACTGGCCTCGCCAGTATCAGTTTGTGCGAACGTATGTTCGCGCATGCGACGTCTGTCAACGAGTGAAGTCGAGTCCTTCACTGCGTGCACCTTTACAGCCTCTACTGGATTCCGGCTGAGTGCTGGGAATCCATCTCAATGGATTTCGTCTTCGGGTTACCCAAAGACGCACGCGGGAATACTGGTGTTCTCGTATTTGTTGACAGATTCAGCAAAAAGGTACATCTTGTGGCTGTTACCAGAGTCAATCACAGCAAGTGGCTGTGCTTGTGTCTTTATCGTCCGACTTCATGGGTTGCCCCGTGAACTCGTATCAGACAGAGATCCACGCTTCACTGCTGATTTCTGGCGTTCCGTGTTTAAATCACTCGGAACGAGCTAGAAGATGTCGACATCTGATCGTCCAGAGTCAGATGGTCAGACGGAACGCGCCAATCGTGTCCTCGAAGAGATGCTTCGAGGATGCGTACACTCCTTTAAGAGTTGGAGTGAGTTCTTGCCAATGGTAGAGTTTGCCATTAACAACTCGGTTCATGCGTCCACGACACATACACCGTTTTACGTGAATGGCTTGCGCCATCCGCGTGTTCCCACCTTACTAGAGTGTAACTCGTGTTTAAGGGGGGGGACTCGCGCGAGCAAAAACCGATTTGGTTCACGCTCATCACTCTCTGACGATGAGGTCATTGCGTTTGATGCCGATATCGACAACATCGATATCGAAAAAGATGATGCCAGTGAGAGTGCGGAAGCCCTCACTGAAGAAACGATTGATGTCGCTGCAGTGCACTCACAGCGAACTGAAGCTAACGAGTCATCAGATGAGTTCATACTGGCTCGTGAAACGGTAGTCCGTTTTGTGCAAGACTCCATCGCCGAAGCGGTGGATAAGCAAAAGCAAAACGCTGACAAGAATGGAAGGGCAAACACTCTTTTATTTAATAAAGGTGACTTAGTCCTACTGTCTACGGTTAATCTACCAAAGCATGTAGTGACTAACTTGGGTAGCAGTAAACTACTACCCAAGTACATTGGCCCATTTCGTGTATTGCACCGCCTAGGCAATGCATACACGATCGAGTTACCACGTAAGATGCGAACGCATCCCACGTTTTACGTTGGTCGGCTTAAGCCGTACCATCAGTACGCTGCTTCTTCCAATGAAGAACGCCCTTGCGCTCAAGCATCTCGCAGAGAGCCTTGTGCTCCCGATGGTGGGCATCGACAAGGGTCTGAATAGCAGTTATCTCAGCCCGAGACCGGTCAACACCCCCACGAGCTATCCTTAGCTCGTCACGCAGAGACGTCAGAGCTCTCTCGTTCTTAAGTTGAGCAAAGGCAACTCAGCTCGATGCTTCGAGGCAGTGTCCGCCATTTGGAGACGCCTGTCCCGCTCATGTTCGAGATCGCCGCGTAACCCTTGCGTTACGCGATCAAAGAAGCTCTCGGGAACACACCGATCCACATGATCGTGTGAAGAGCGTCTTTCCTCCTCCTCCACCTCCATTAGAGGACTCTCGCGGTGGCCAGCGCTATCTAGTTGAGCAGCTGTTGAACCACCGCGACGTGAACGGACGTCGGACGAGTTACCTCGTCCGGTGGCGCGGCTATCCCCCGTCCTGGGATTCTTGGGAGCCCCGCTCCCAACTGATGATCGACGTACTGGGTCTGGTTGAGCAGTACGACGCGGCACATCCTGTGCCGCAGAAGGACCGCCGGAGAAAGTCTTCCCGGCCTGTCGTAAAGGGATTTCAGGTTGTCAATCCCTTCGTACATCTCAGTAGAGACACGTACGCGCCACCACGGGCTGGTAAGGAGGTAAGCCTCCTTAGGTGCTCGTGCAGAGTTGTTCACACAACATGGGCACGAGTCTCCCCAAGAGAGGCAGGGTAATCCTTTCTCCCTTGACAGACGATGCAGCTCATAGCGTGCACCTGTCGGGGTTCGCTTTTCAAACTTATCACGAGCTCTGACAAGTTTGTCGTTCCAAACATCTCGACCTACATCCTCAAGATTATGGATGTAGGCGTTCCACGCTTGAAGCAGTGAGGGACCATCACGCTTGTGATTCCCCCTGTACCATCGATGTCTAAAGAAAGCATCGATGAAGAATTCATTCTCAGTGTGATAGTCTTTCGCGCTGGGGTCAAGGTGATGGATCCTTGATGAACTGAGCAATCGTGTTCGATAGCAATCGCTTGTCGGCGACGACAAGTGATCCATGACGGATTTTGGAGGCATCCATGCCTTCTTTTCGGGAGCGAGACGCAACACACTGCGGTCCCGCTCTTCCTGCGACGTGCCGACAGAAGGACTGGCACCTCTCTGCGAAGTGGTGTCAATAGGAGAACCGACACCACTGTTAGCGCCCGAGTCTCGCGACCTCGAGCGCCTTCGCTTCGGCGATTGTTCATCTGATTCATCAGATGAACCAAAGATGCTATGACGCATAGCATCATCCATGCCACGCTTGGCAGGCGGCTTGGTTTTGATCGCCGTCGATACAGATCCGTCTTCCGTATCAGGAGTGTATGAGACACCGAGCTCATACTCTGTGAAGACACGAGTGTCTTCATGACCAGCGCCTGCGTCACCAAGTGACACAGGCTGGGTCGTTTCAGCAACCGATGGCACATCGGTTGCAGCGGTTTCTGCTTCGGCGTCCGCACAGAGACGTGCGGACGCGCTCTCGGCGGCCTTGCTCGCGCATCGCATGGGCTTGTTTACCATGCGATGAGATGTTGGAAAGTGGACGCGGACCAACAAGTGCAAACCCTGTCCCAAATGATTTGGGACGAGTATCCATTTAGTCAATCAGTCACTAAAGTGACTGATGGTTAGGGGGGGTGATGTAACGGGGTGAATCGTTACATAACAATATATAAGAAATTGTTAATAGAATGTAACTATAAGACTTATATTCTCAGAATATTGTCATAAGGACAAATATTCTGAAGCACTTACGAGTCGTTCCTAATTGGTTGATATAGGCCATTATATCAACCAACGAAGACGCGCCACGACAGACGCACGCAATGAGTGGTGAGCAGATAGTTGATATGCACATTTGTATTTAGACATAGTTAGATGAAGATAAATAGTGATTTATTGCAGACAGTAACTATTATAAATACAGTTCTACTTTTTACTTTAACCAAGTACTCGCTTCTTCTTACCGTCTTCCTCTGCACGTACGAGTGTACGTGAAGTTACGAGGCACCGCCTTATTCTGTCATCAGAATAAGTAGCTTGTACTGTCACCAGTACAAGCTTCAGGGTGCCCCTTTACACTTTCCATTCCTCCACCCACTCAAATCGACGATGCTAATGGGAGCTGTCGTGCTAGTATGTCCTATCTGAAGATGTCGACGCTTCTATCGCCGGATAGGCAAAATGCGACGATGTGCTACCCACTGCAGGGTCCACTGGCCATCGTATGGTTTTGCTGATGCAAGTACACATATGAAAGAGTCCTCGTACCCTAGTACGAAGCGCTGCGACCTATTCGGAAGAACACACCCAGTTTCATGTATATGATAGCCCTTTGTGGTCGTTTGGAGTCGATGGTGCAACATAGAAGCAGTCCCATCATTGACGACTCGCACCGTCAAAGCTTGCCGCCATTTAGTCGAGATGAGGAGATCTGTCGCACATCACGGTTTTAAATCTTGCTGTATCCACGTCCTCGCGCCAGCAGAGATCGGGATGTGGGTTGCGGTGCGTCGCAATTCGTCTATCCAGCACGCAATCACCGAGATTTTGGGATGGGAGGTATCAAGCAAAACTGCTTCTGATGAGCGTCGTCGATTCGAGCGGGTGGCGGGCTACATGTGTTTACCGAGCAAGAGTCGGGAGAAGGGAAAAAGAGGCGACAACGGGCTGATCTGCGACGTTCTCTAGGCTCGCAGTGTACAGGCAGTATAGGTCTCATACTGCTTTGCTGCCGCGAGACATGACACCATGACCACTTCAACATGATGGTCGTTCAGCCGAATCACATGGTTTTGAGTGCCTATCGAGTCGATGTAAAGTCTGCATAATGAACATTGACCGTAAGAGCTACCCAAGCACCAAACTTGCGTACTTCTTGCTGCATGAATAGACCGGCGGTCATTCCTAAACTCCATGACGATCATGAACAATGGACAAGCGAGGCCCATCATTACTCAAACAAAAGACACGCAACGTGCATGTCAATCGCGAGAAGTGTCGATTCCGAAGGAAAAGGCACTTTTACCATCGCGCCGAGTGAGTCTGCAATTTGCCCAGCTACTCTAGACTCCACCGGATGTACGCGCGACATGATGATGAAGTCACTGAAGATCGAGCCGGACCACTTCCACTGTACACTTGCTGCTGAATAGATCCATGTTTGAGAGAGATTTCATGACAGTCTATTAACATTTACCTATGTACAAGATGTCTGAAAACTCTGGAGCCAGGACAAGAGATCCGGATCCGGTAGCTTGTCGTAGCTGCTTCCTGCGAAGACCACCTCATCCCGCGGTTTGAGAGTGAAGAGGTCAAGACAGGCATGTAAGAGAGCCCCGGCGACGACTGTGTCGGGACCACGATGTTCGCGTTTCGCTAACGCGCTGAGATGCCGAATCCCCACCTTCCAAAAACGGGTGACGCTGTGAATAACCGTCGTCCGCACACCTTGAAATACTGCGTCGTTTCGTTCACTCCATAAGTGAGTTAAACAGACGCTACACATAATAAACCATATGCGATTCCAAACCATGACCCCTGCTTCCAAGTCGTCTTGTAAATGTTCATGTAGGTGTTGTCGCTGCCTTGCCGGTAATGCAGGAGCCTGACGATTCACACTGCCAAAATACCAGGTCTCATCAACAGACCTCACATCTCGGAGACCCGTCCAGTGACAGATAAGTCGCCTCCAGCAGGCGCGCGCCTTTGGACATTCCCAAAAGATGTGAGCCGACGTTTCTTTACGCCCCCAACACTCCATCAGCGCTCGACAGCTGTTGTCAGCGCGACGACCATCATAGTAGAGGTTAAGTTAATTAGTGGCGACTCTGTAGCAAGTCCAGACTTGAAAATCCGAAAGGCCATTAGTATGGTTCCAAACTTGAGACGGGCGTTGATGAGCTGCTGCACGCAACCAGCCATCCTTGCTGATGACTTGTTTCAACCGTTGGATCAGCCCTTTCAAAGGGACAGCAAGCAGTCGTTTGTGAAGTCTGAACGCTAGCCAGGCAATTGTCGCCCTAATCGAAACGCTCGCCACCGTGTTGGCCACAGCCCAGGGAAATCGATGATGATCAGGATGTGAATAAAACACGACACCATGTAACCGCAGTCGGCTCATCCAAATGTCCCTCTCAGCGACAGTTTCAGTAACCAACTCAGGTAATGATGTGGTAAAAAACCCATCTAAATCCGTTGGCACTTTGCCGCAATTTGACGTGCTCACACCCGTTATCCGCAGACTCCCGTCTATTCCCGACGACGTAACCATGTCGCACCGTCGAAAAGTCAAAATGATACCGAAACGGAGGCGCATGACGAAGTGCTAACTTCGGTTCCAGCGCTAGTTCCGACCCAATTCGAATAGAAGGCGAAGCGAGCAAGAGAGATGTAGCCCAGCACCTTAACTTCGGCTGATAGTGATGCTTAGAGGCAGGTCCAGCCAGTGAGATACTGAAGATAAACTCTTTCGGTCCGGTTCTGCGAATGTGCAAGTCCGAGATGGAGCAGTCATCTATCCGGTCGTATTTGGAGCGTACAAGCTGCCGAACCTGCCCATCGCGAATCCTCGAATTGTTACTCCATCCGAGCGTTCCCCAAAAGCGGTGCAGTGCCAGTACTTGGACGTCGTTGGATGCTAATGCTTCCGGAAAAGGGTGATGGTAAGATAATACCCATTCATCTTCTTCCCACCAGCTACTGGCTCCTTCGAGCAAAGTCGAATAGTGCATGCGGACGCGATCTCGAATAAAACTCAATTGCTCCGTCGTGGGTTGCAAAAGCTTTTCCATGTCTTGTATCCATGCTGTTTTGGAAGCTTCGAAGTGCAAGAAGATGTTATCCCTGGTATACCCCTTCCATACAGGACCAGGGATGAGAAAGATGGCCTACCTTGATAAGCCCAGAGACACCAAGAGGCAAAATACTTGTCCTGGGCTTGCGTTGAATAGATCCATTTTGCGACGTCTTACCATCGACATTGTCGATAGATAGATAGACAGCATGGGATCCCTTCCCATCCTGAAATCTCCAGCTCCAAAGCACGTTCTGCCTGTGACATTCGGGTCGTCTGATGCTGCATCGTGACCGTACCGAACAAGTCGAGACCGTCGCACCGGAATCCTCACTTTGAGTTTTCCTCGCCTCCATCAAGACCCAATCCGATAACCATGAAGATCTTCGTGTCATCGCAGCTGGCTCTTGCCAGCATCATGACCATGATCGCAGCCAATCCGATCAAGTGCAGTGGCCCCAACGCTCGGATTGAGCCACCGGTTGGTGCGATCGTCGTGGATCCTACGGGTGATCCTAAATACCAAGGCAGCTTCCGGAACATGATCGACGCTGTTGCAAGACTGGACCGCACGTTGGAGGGGGATCAGACGATCTTCGTCTTCTCTGGTGTTTACGAGGGACGCGTGGTCATTCCGCCTATCAAAGGCAAACTTGTGCTCCAAGGCGCCACGTGTGATGCAACGTCGTATGCGAAGAACCAGGCGACGATCACCCACAAAATGTCGCAGAAGAACTTACCGAAGAATGTGACGGGCGATCACAATGCAGAGACCAGCGCCATGCACTTCAAGGCGAACAACGTGAAAGTCTACAACCTCAACATCGCCAACACGGCGGGCAACACGGGACAAGCTGTCGCGGCGACTGTGGACGGCACCAACTACGGCTTTTACGGCTGCAAGTTCACTGGGTATCAAGACACTTTGTTGACCAAGAAGGGGCTTATCATGTTTGCTAACTCCTACATCAGTGGCGCCGTTGACTTCATTTTCGGCACCAAGGCCGTGGCTTGGTTCGAGCACTGCGATATCGACTGTATCGATGCGGGATATATCACTGCCAACGGTCGTTCCAGCGCCGAAATGGACTCGTATTACGTCTTCAACCATGCGAATGTCTACAGCTCGAAAAAGGGGTACAAACCGGGCATGTCCTACCTTGGTCGTCCGTGGCGTCCTTATGCTCGCGTCGTGTTTCAGAACAGCGAGCTCAGTGACGTGGTCAATGCCGCTGGTTGGTCGGACTGGAACGGTGACAGCACGGAACACGTAGAGTTTGGCGAGTTTAAAAACACTGGCCCAGGTGCGGCGAAGGGGAACGGTCGACCTGGCTTGGGCACCCAGCTAAAGGCAGCTGTGGCTTTGAAGGATTTCTTCAAGGTCGACCTTAAGAGTCAGTGGTGGATCGACTCAGCGTACGTACACGTGTAGTGCTGCTCTTTGGTCGAGAGCTTCAAAGGTTGTAGTCGTTATTTTCCTGCGCTTTAATACACTTCCGCTTGACCTTTTATCGGACATGCATACGTTCATACGAATGTTCTTGGCGCAGTTGACTCGTCATTTGGTTCACAAAGACACCGAGTTCTAACACTATGGCATGGAGGTTAGTGTGGACACGAACTGCTAGATGCAACAAAGATAAGTTGTCGGATGGAATTGTTTTACCCGACGACGTCATACCGTCTGTCCGTGCATTTGCAAACCACGAATAAACAGACGGAAGGGGTCCGTCAAGATTTCATGGGATTGTCCCTCAAACGACGCAAAAGGTGTACGACATCCAGCTCGGAAGCGAAAAGGTCGCGGCTTTCTAGTTCCCCCGACATCAATACGGCATTTCTACAAACTTTTTTCTGTCTTTTATTATGACCGTCAGCCCAGCGTGTTCACCACGGTGTACCGTTAATGCGTTTCGACTTGCGTTCAAACGTTAGTGCACTCGCCCTGTGATATGTTGAGCTTCGGAAGACTAACTCAGCTCCACATAGCTGTAGCAGCATTAAACTGCTATCTTTGCTTCTGTGTAACGATGCACCCTCGAGCTCGTACTGATGGCAGTACAAGCTACTTATTCTGACGACAGAATAAGGCGGTGCCTAGGAACTTCACGTACACTGGTACGTGCAGAGGAAGACGGTAAGAAGAAGCGAGTACTTGGACAAAGTAAAAAGTAGAACGGTAATTATAATATATAAAATGTAACGGGGTGAATCGTTACATAACAATTTATAAGAAATTGTTAAGAGAATATATCTATAAGAGTTATATTCTCAGAATGTTGTCATAAGGACAAGGATTCTGCAGCATTTACGAGTCGTTTCTAATTGTTTGATATCGGCCATTATATCAACCAACGAAGACGCGCCACGACAGACGCACGCAATGAGTGGTGAGCAGATAGTTGATATGCACATTTGTATTCAGACTTAGTTAGATGAAGACAAACAAGGGGTTTATTACAGACATTAACTATTATAAATACAGTTCTACTTTTTACTTTAACCAGGTACTCGCTTCTCCTTACCGTCTTCCTCTGCACGTACCAGTGTACGTGAAGTTACGCGGTACCGCCTTAATCTGTTACCAGAATAAGTAGCTTGTACTGTCATCAGTACAAGCTTGAGGTTGCCCCGTCACACCTGGTAGCACTTTGTAGTTCGTCCAAGGACCACGTTCACATCTAACATGAATATGTTAGATGATGAAGATGACCAAAGCTTTCACGCTACACGTGACGGCTACTCCCACTTGAGCGATGTCGAATGGGATGCGGTTGAATGGATGGATTCAATCATGGGCATCCATGCTGTTAGCGTCATGCTAGAGGCTCTCAATAGAGATGCCCAATATGCTGCTATCGCCAAGTTCATTCAAAATAAACGTGAAGCTGAATGC